GTTCGGTCCAATTTATTAACATCAGGCCGAGCGTTCGGCGTTTTCCCGGAAAAAGTTCTTCCATAAGCAAACAGGGGATCAAGTATTTCCGTGCGACAGCATACATTTCCCATAACGCAAAAAGTTAAGAGCGATCCATTCGGTGTTACACTTTTAGTTTAAGAGGGTAGAAATCCACGGGAGTGCGACGCGTGGGCGGAAAACCTCCACAGTTCTGAATGTCTGGTTTCACGGGTGAAAAATTAAATGTAGAACCGAGGGAAATACTTGCGCGAGAAATGTATAATACAACAAAAGTTTAAATGGCCAGCGAATTTACGTTTCCCTTTGAAACCCGTGTCATTTTTCTGTCGCGCGATAAAACGCGAGTAACGTTGTTCGTAATGTTAACGAATTAGAATGGAAAATTTTAATTCACCGATGGTACGAGGTTTTATGGCGCGAAACAAATGCTCGTCGACGTCACCGCAACAAAGTTCACGGTACATGATTATTGCCTTGCAGTTGCCAACGCTAACACGCGTGTGCCGAACCTCCTCCGCTAATGATCGCGATTGTAACCAGATATAAAAGCTTTGGGAAATCGGATTCCAGACGTCGGGCGAAACTTGCAGAAGAAATGATCAAAGTAAATGGCGCACCGTGGTTTCGAGTCTTTGGGAAAAAACTCCTTTCACCGGCGCATCCGCCTGTTTTTCATGTCGCCCGTATTAAGTACAACTTGTTCCAGCGGAAACGTCGAATCCACGGAATGAATCCAATTCGCGTGCGGTCTCTGTTTCATGTTCGCCGAATCGCGTCTGAAAAACGAGATTGCGTGAGTTTCAATCCTCTCGGTTTCTAACTCGGATCATTTAAAAACTCGTCGTCCGAATTCCATTTTCACGAACCCTTCCGACTGTCCGAACGCTAAACATCGACTTCCATGATCGCGGTTAACGCGAAATTTAAATGTTGTAACGTCAGTCGAGGAATTTCATTGTTTCGTCGTATGCTGCGTATTGGGCCGTATTCTCTGCGCAAGTATATGGAAATTTGCATGAGTAGATATGTATATTGGGTTTCACGGAAGGGTGTGTCTTCGCCGAAGAAATTTGTCTATATCCCATTTAAGACTCCCGCTTGGGAAGCAGATAAGCGAAGATATATTTTTTCCGCCCGAAGCTTTCTTACGGGGGCGGAGGTTAACGCGCGAATACCCTGGGGAACGAGACGTCCCGCGGGAAACGGTGTACGCCAGCCTCCGAGAAATCGCGAGGAATCGTCGCGTTATTCGTGAAACGTTCGATCAAATCGCTAATGCGTGCCGCCCCCCGAGCAAACAACGAGCGACGGTTCCACCAAAACGCAGTAATTGATACCGGGAAAGGGGAAAAAGGTTCCTTCGATAATTAATTCTCTGTTACGGATTGTTACGGGCACCGGTGTTTACACTAGGCTTAATCGATGTCTGGCCGATGTACGTTCGCCATTTAAATTTAATTAACCTTCGCAACACGCGATTACGAGCCCGTATTTCGAAAATGTAATAGAAAGTTCGCGGCTCGAAAAGATCAGATATTAAGCATCCTAGATTAAATCATCCCTTTCGCAAGACGAAACAGAAATTCACGGTATTAAGGTTCTTTCGTTTACGTTGCATGAAATGCAAACCTCGAAGGTTCGAACTTTTTATCTCGTTCATGATAGAATAAGATCCTCGAATGGACAAGTTCCCAATGAATTCCGTTGGAGAAGAAACTCGGAAAATTCTAATTTACATAAAGATCCGTAGCCCGGGAAGCAGTGTCGGCAATTTGTCAAGCGGAGTCCGACCGGCTAATGGATGTCCATTGAAATTACGGTTCGATTCGTGTATTACTTGTACAGAGGAATCACGCGTTGCGCAGGGGAACACGGCGCTCCTGGCGTATGTTAATGAAGAAATAGCGGCGGGAGCGCGAGGTGTCTGGCTAACGTCGCGATGCCCACGTAAAGGTGGCAAACGTGCCGTGACACGGTCCAGCATGTAACCATAAACTCGTTTTCGAACACCGGCGCAATGTTTCTCAATTAGAAAAACCCCATGTGTCGCCTTTTCTCTCGCGGAGCAATGTTGATCGAGAAAAGCACCAGTTGTATACTTGTTTAATTAACACTCGTAGCGAACTTACGTCGGTCCTACGACGTTGCAAACGTGTGTTTATCGATTTACTCGAAAATGTCGCATTCCAATTCTGGAGAACCTTATGACCGAATAATGAGATCGTTTCTCGAAAGGAAAGAGGAATCTGAAGAATACGGTTCATTAAAATTGATCTTTCGTATCGGTAGTATCTCTCGTATCATCTCGGCGTTCTTCAAAGGCTTCCATAGGCCACGAATTTATAAAAGTTCACGAATTGTCTAATATTCCGCGATTACCCCTACTGATACGCTAAGCCACGTCGAATCCTGTATTCTTCAATTTAACAACTGAACGCAAGTAGCGCAATGTAGACGAGCACCGGTTGTTCCTGCGAGTAGAAGTGGGCGAAACCAATTTGAATACCAATAATCAAATACCCACGTTGGCACTGGCGTACCCATACTTTGAGCAACGCGCGACGAACGAAGTTTCGCGTAGGAACCGCGGGAAGTCAAACAACGCTGCTTGATTGGCTCACACGTTTTCTTGTTCACGGTTTCGAGCGACACCATAAAATACGATGAATTCCCGGGATTGATCCTCGCCCCGCGAATTCGCGGGGAACCGAGGAATGCCGAAACGTCAATCGCCGGGGGCGGACGGGAAGGTTTTTCCCGTGCCGCGTCGATCGTCAATCCATTTGCATAATTTCCGTAATTAGGATAGCCACCAATTAACTAAAATTAACTGCGCGCGGTGTTGTCGCACGGCCGCGTCACCACCTACCATCATGTGCCCGAAACGCGGTGGTTCCTTTGACAAATTCAAAATTAATATACGCCTGTCGGAACGATCGCCGCGAGACGCCGAGAGCAACGCGATGAAACAACAATGTTTCGCCTCGCGATAGCGGAGGAAAAAGTTAACGGCGCCGTTAAGCGGTCCATTAAGGATCATTCGGCAGAGGAAAAACGGAAACGAAAGAAACGAAGTGCGAGAGGGTTCGGAAGTCACGAGAGAGAGAGTCCTTGCAAAATGAACCGCCCAAACGCGATTCGAGGATGTTAATATGCGAAACGGGGAACTTATTTTCGCGCCGATAATCCGGTATCGCGTCGGGCCGCGACGATACGTAAAAAAACTGCCGAATAGGACACCTAGAAAAGACGTTAACGGTTATCTCGCGTATCCGCGTAAGCTCCACCGAATGTTTACCCGCTCGATGGGCTGATCGTTCGATCGATAGCGATTGGATCAGCAAATCGTCTCCCGTCCACCGATTTCTCGCGATATCGCGATCACGCGCACGAGCGAACGTCTTTCGGAATCTAAATGGAATCGCTACAACGCCTGATACATATTTTACGTACGCTTACATTGGCCCGCGTACCGTAGACGTGATTCCACGGGATCCCATGGCGTCGGGGGAACGTCGAACGGTGGATTTTCATCGAATATAATATGAAATAGGCTAACGCAGCGCGCGCGTTAATGATTTTTCTCGATCGACATCCGCGAATGCCGTGCTCGGAGATACATCGAACGCCTCCACGTTTCCAACGTCGAAATATTTCTAGCAATATCCTCTTGGGAAATTCCGACCGCGAGCTGGAAATTGATCGAGTGATTCGGATTCGAATGGCAAACTGCTTGGAACCATTTAATTATCAGGATCTTAGACCATGCGCGCTCTGCCTGGATAACTGTCGAGTCTGGTGATGCAGTTTCCAAACGATCCTCATTTTTGTTTCGCTTCGCTCCTGTTGCAGCTGGTGAATGATAATCGCCGATTTAATCGACGATAAGTTTGTCGATTCTCTTGAAAAAGTACTTGCTACAATAAACATAAGTAAACCGAAGTTGTCGATGTATCGTCGTTCTGATCGATCGTTGCTTGGACAATGTACGATCGAATGTCCGTGTTCTCTGTATGTGGAACTATGAATCATTCCGCCATACGAGGAAAGAAACCCATTGCCGCTAACCATGAACGTGTCCCGAAGTTTCAAAGTTTATCATAGAATCGACGGCTTTGCGCGAGTATTGACGGGAAACTTTCGAAGACGCCCGGAAGCGTGCGGCGCGACTACGACCGCTTGTTTCGAGGGCAGAATGCAAAAGTTGCTAGCGTACTCGTTATCCCCGACGGTATCTCTGCCCGTGATAAAGAGGCGGCCGCCTAAATCTTTCGAGGTCGTCCCACGCGCCTCTGTCCGCGATATTTTTCCAACTGTCCGGATTGTTAAGCGTTGCACACGCGGATGACTCGCTGGCAAATAACAAGAGCCGGGGACATCGGGCGGGACAACTTGCCGCAAATTGGCTGATGCAACCGCGGGACCGTTCCTGTTCCTTTCCCGCCTTCATCGCGTCGGAAATAAATGGGGATCTGATATCGATTTTGAATGAAAATGTCTCCCGTCGGCTTGCCGAGCGTAACGGGAGTCCGCGAAATTTAGCTGCCTTGCCCCTTCGTTAGGATCGAATTTACGGGACACTTATTGATTATTCATTACTGCCGTTGTTTATCCCCGACATTTGCTTCTGAACTGACAGTAACCCTAAATCAGTGCGAATACCTTTCGCGCGCATTCGGTCGGTTGATTTCAACGCTAGAACCACCGAGCACTTCAACTGACTTTTCATTTCTTCGCGATTTTTAAAGTATCTGTGCCATTTCGGTCATTCTAAAAGAAGAAATCGGGAATGGGTAATTTTGACTGATCTGGTGGTTCCAGTGTTAGAACTTGGAACGATATTTGCTTAATGAGAGAGTTCGAGTCGGTTCATTGATAACTGTAGTAAATAATCTAGAAACGAGGAAATTTACCTAGATTCTATTCCGAGATACGTGGCTCGATCGGTTTAATAATCTAGACAATTATCCTTGCAGGCTGTGGTGTACATCCAACGGTGCATGGTGATCCTTGCTATTTTCCTGTGCTACTTCCACGTCCGGGGCGATGTGGACTGCGAGTGAGTACACGTTATTCGTGATTCAGTGTGTGTTAATTATGCGATAAATTGTTCAGTCCGTACTATAAAAACCGGCATTAAAATCCATGATTCTCCGGGCCCTTTAGATTGTATCCGTTCCATCAATCATGCAGAGGCTCGATGTCGAGGAAACGTGCGATGTTCCCAACCTTGTACGCACTGGGTTGCGACGGAAGTAAAGGAAACGTAAATTGCATCAGGGAGTTCGAAGAAAGACGTCGCCTCCCTTTCATCCCGTTTTCGAAGTCGAAACTCTTAATGTCTCTACTCGATAACGTAAGTCGCCAACCTAAGGCTCCAGCTGTTAACCGATTCCTAGTATGATAAATAATAAATCAAAACAATAACAGTAACAACGTGAGCATGTAAAGATAAATGACTGGTGAATAAAGAATTTATGTATAGAATAATGCGCTAATCAAATCCAGAACATTGAGTTGAAACACGAAATAAAAAGATTCAAATTTAAGTCTGGTTAGACCAATAATACGCCATTCGAACGTGATGATTCGCTGTACGATAATTATCTTCCTTTGTAAAGAATAGTATTGTTCTATCGAGTAAACTTTCGATGAAAATATAAGATTGAATGATTCGGATATTTCTTCATATTTTGTTTATTTCATTTGTTTTTATTGCGCGAGTGATTAAACGGTGGAGTTGGAATTACAGTACCTTAATTTCTGTCGCAGGATCTGCAAAAGGACGCAATGTACACCGCACACCACAAACAAAGGAACAATGAGATGGACGAACGAAGGCTACCCTTTATGGAGAACTTTTTGTCAGAACTGGAACCTTCGGACACCAACTATTAAACGAACTGATCTGGAAATAAATATTTGCTCGGCTCGTGCAAACATTTTTCATTAATTGAACTGTCAGAAATGTGTATTTTGTCCTCTTTCTATACTGATTACATCGAATAAAACTTCCTTCTTCTCCCTTTTCCATGCCCGCCCACCCCCCTCCACGCTCCGAACTCATGGATCGCAACATTTTTCTGTAACCGGCTCATGTATTTAACCATTTCCTTTCATTCGCCTTCGTTCTATCGAAACGGAGAACTAATTGAAACATTGTATCCATGTTATTAACAATACATTATGTACTGAAGCAACAGAAAATACGTTTGCAGTTCGCAACAATTCTTTGGATTTATCCTATTAAAAAAGAAAACACGAAATTAACATTGTGAACAATGTCAATTTAGCGAATGTAATTATTAATAATAATCGTTGCGCGTAAGTGTGATCGCCATCTGAAGATCTTGTACATAAGCAAATTCGAAACAATTACACGAAAATTAGATATAACCTTGTTACGTTCGAAAGCGACAGTGCAGTATTAAGAAGAATATTTATTTCCCTGATAATTTCACATGGTCTTAATGCGTTCAACGTAATTATAATTGCGCATATTGTACGATCACAAGAGACATCTGATATGTAAATCTCTATATATTGAAATTTTACAAGTACTACAATAAACTCTTGGACTTATGTAGTTTAAAAAAAAAGTGATGCTCAATTTATTTCCGCATCTGTAAACGTATTGCTTGTTAGAAGCGAACTGATTCCATTTCCTCGCAAATAAAAGCTATTCCTTAATATAATTATTCTTTAATTATTTCCATTCATCGTTAATTATCTTTCGTTGAAAACTTTTCAAATGTATCAGACAACACATTCGTATGTGTTCGTATTAACCTATGTCCTCACTGAAACAATATCAAGGAATTCTAAAAGTATTTACCTTACTTTAATCAAAATAATGAGTTCAATATCCGCCCTTTCAAACGATGTGATTGGAAGAAGCTACAATTAATAAAGCAATTAATAAAACAAACTATCATACGGTGTAAATATAATCAGTCTCTGTGTTTCCAAGGAATAGTATTTGAATGTTGCGTGTGTTCTTGAAAAGATCGTGCAGTTTCGTATTTTGATCTAACCTTATATCAAGTAAACAATACAAGAAACTGACGAAATTTTAGAATGTATGCTAAGAAAACTATATTACTTCTACCTATCAAAATAATGAGTGTTGTCGCAAAAAGAAAATTGCATTGTAGATACGAAAGTGTTAGAAAATTATTAAATTTAAGGTTATGTAAACAATCGCAACGAGTGTTGTACGAAAAGAATGCATGGAATGGAAGAACGTACGTTAGATTTCAAAACAATACAAAGATAAATGAAGATTCCCAACCAAATAAAAATGTTTTATATGATGAGATGAATCCAATCACCGAGCGTGAGAAGTTGTATTTGATAATGAAGAATTCTGCATTCTACAAAGATACCATAGTTCCTCCCATTAAATCACGATTTTATGTAACTAAAGATGCAATAGATAAGGCAATTAATATGAATTGGGAGCAAAGTAGTTCACTGGAGTGCCTCAATGCTATTAAAGTAATTGCACATTATCATTTAATCAAGTCATATTTATCAGAAGAAAAGTATTGCCAAATTTTAAAAGAACTTAAAAATAAGATTCCTGAATTTAAAGATCACGAGATCAAAATATTGATGTCATATTTGATCGCATTAAAGAATAATGTGAAGAAATTGAAACCTTATGAACGGCTTGTACACCAATTGGATTATGAATGTTTGAAACGATTTTTTGGTTCAAATGTTGTAGAATTATTATGGACAATAGACGCATTTTATCAATTGGATATGTACAATTGTTCATATATGTGGCGTGCCCTACGGAAAATATCCTCAAAGCTTGAGAAACTATCAGGAAAAAATCTGGTTCAATTCTTATTTTACATAAGTGTTTGCAAATTTCCTGATTTACACATGTTTGAAGTAGAATGTTATTTGATCGAACGTATGAGTGAAATTTCTCCAGATGAATTAGGTATTGTAGCAAGAGGGTTTTTTTTAACAAAAAGGAAAGTAACACAGAAGGATCTAATGATAGAGATATTAAACAAAACTGAGAAACATATATCATCTATGAATAATGTTAGCGTGGAGGCAGTAATAAAACTAATACGGTACAAAGAAAATGTCTCTAATAAGTCATGTTTTATTGTTGGTTTCTTATAAACATATATATTTACAGATACAGCGATTCTTGTAATCTTAAATCACATTTTCAGAAGACACTACAAAATGTCAAAGTAGACAGACTAAATCTATTATCCTTAACACATATTGCGCAAGGAATGGGAGGTACACGTGTATATAATGGTGAATTATTAAATTCAATTGTTCAGAGGTAATTTATATGAAAAAAGAAATAAAAATAGTATATTTATTTTTAAAAACAATAATATCAACACTCAATCTAGGTTAGAGGAGGATTATTCATCAGCAAGATTAAAAGATATTGAAAGAATTCTGTTTTGTGTTTGTTTAATAACTCCATATACAGAAGGCCATGATCTGTGTAGGAGAATAATGAACCCATTATTATCAACATATAGGACAACCAGATCAGAAGAAGTTTTTCAGTAAGTTATTCTTATTAGAGATACATAACATTAAATATGTATATACTAGTAATTCAAGATGATATATTATTATATTATAATTGCAGATATCCATATTCAATGGTGCATATTGTGGGATTTTTAATACATAAAAACATATATATAGAAGAGTTAATTAGATTTGTATTAACACCTGAGTATGTAAAGAACACACATAAGAATAACATGACATTTTTGACAGGTCAATATTTATTTCTCCAGTGTTCAATTCAGATAGAATTACCAAATTATACAGGTCCACTACTTGATGATAAAATCTACAACTGTTTAATACAGGTATTATTTAATATCATTTGTTCATTAATAACGTAGTTGAATTATGCAAATGAGAAGCAGAGTAAAATCTAAAGTTTCTTTACGCTTAACAGCTTCGTTATTATTATTATTATTACAGAAAAATTGCCGTAGGACTGATGTATATGAAAAACACAACTCTATGAAATTTATGTCTGAAGTTATATATTTATGCAAGGTATAAATATTTACAAATTTATGTAAAAGAGTATTAATAGTAACAGAGGATAATGGTTTAAATTTATTACAACAGGAAAAATTGGGACTACAAGCACATACTGATTTCATTCTACCTCATTATTATACTTCTGATATTATTCTGGGTTTTGATAAAAATAATAATTCAGTACCAATTGAGCCTATATTATCAGAAATGCCACCAAGAACAATTAAAAGAGTAGATACTGAAGATCTACGAAAAATAAAATGGAAAGTAATATATTTATTATCTTCTACAACTAATGTAATAGGTCATGATGGATATGTGTGTTCTGTATATATGAAATGCAGGCAACTCAAGACTATTGGATATACACCAATCATTGTAAATTCTTTATTTTCTTACGATTGAAATTTTACAGTTTCATGTACAGTGTAACTAAACTTACTAATGTTCTTGCAGCTTTCTTATAGAACGTGGAAAGTGCTAGCTGAAAATGAGAAAGTTCCGCATCTGAAAAAAATTATCTTTCAAGAAAATACTGACTTCTTGCAAAACTAAATCCAGTAATATGTATTTATTATAAAAAATTCGCAACTACATAATGTATTTCATTTTGTTACACTTCTTAATGATATATGTATTTTTAATATGTATCCAAAGAAGTAGTAACAGTGGTTTAAATCCAGTTATTATTAACTTTTTTAACAGTTGGCAAGACAAAATAGGTCAATTTAACAATAAAATGTTTAATTAATTTTATGTAAATCCTATATAATACAGTTTTTATTCATATAATTATTTTTTAAATAGCAAATAATTTTATTACAATTTGTATTATTATATATTATTTACATTAACATTGAAACATTTATATAATATTTATTTACATGTATAAATAATTAATACATTTTCCCATGTTGTATAATATGAAGTAATGGATATAAATTTCATTAGTTATTTATCGAAAAAATTGTGCATACATTTCTTGGAATATTCGTAAGTAACGAATAATGTCGCAGTTGCTGGTACTGTTCTTATTAGTGTCGGTTTCAAGCCATTATACAATGAACTAACACCTTCACTCCTTACAATATCTTTCATAACAAGTAACGCTGGTGTTTTCAAATTTTTTACCTTCAAAGGCAATTATAAATTAAATTTAAAATACATCCCTTATTTTGAATTTTTTCGTACACAAATGGTAAATAAGTCTAACCTGTATTCTACTTTTAACTACATCCGCCGGGAATATTACAAGCCAAAGTATGGAACCACCTACAGCACCAGCTATCATAGTTTTTTGCCAACCGATATCGTCTCGGCTTTGATTTGGTTTAGCAAGAAGTTCTCTCGTAATCTCATAACCTCCAAAAAAAAAGAAATATCCAGGCATTTCGCGTGCTATGGTTGATGATAAACCATTAAAGAGACCTCTTATTCCTTGTTCTCTAAGAATTTGATTTGTTAATCCCCATGGACTAATACGTTTCTAAAAAAAGAAATTAATTCAATTGTTGATAATATTATTTTATATTATATATTTTGTTCCTTTAAATTACCCTAACAGAAGTCATAGATTTAGTCATTTCACTTTCTACTTCTCTCATTGCTTGTAATTTACATTTTATTAATTCTGTTGGACATAATGTTAATGAAGAAAAGAAAGCAGCAAAAAATCCAGCCCAAGCATTTTGTATAGAAGTTAGGTCTTCTATTTTCTTCACACCTACATAAAAATATTCTTCAAACTAGAACTTACAATCTGAACTGTATTAAGAATTTTTATTTTACCTAATAAATTTGAAATGACTTTCTGACATCCTCCGTATGCTGCAAAAAGAACTGAATTTTCTGCAACATTAGCAACCACTGCAGGCATAGTTCCTGCATATAAACCTCGTATTATTCCATCCGTTTTAAATGTCTGTACAAAACAATTTACCATTCCTTTATACATGGAAGGAAACGTTTGCATCTTTACCTTAACTGTGTCTAATGGTTGCCCAACGTATACAAGAGCTATCCCACCTTAAAATAATACACAAAGTCGAATATTTACATTTCAATGGATATGAATAATCTTTTTCTTTAGAACTGAATATATTGAAAAGTTTTTAAAAAATGATCAGACTTTTATTTCATTAGGAACATGAAAAAAGACACTTAATAAAGTAAACAAATTTCATTCCATATTCGATAAATGAAATTACAAATTTTTATATTTACATAAACGTCTGTGTTTTGTAAATGAATGATACAAAAAGTCATGACAAGAATATGATGCATAAACGTATGTTGTATTAATTAGATTCAAAGTCGAACATAAGATTACAATAATAAATTATTTAAATTATGCTAATATCGTTTTAAATGTTCATCACAAAAGAAAAAGCTAGTCGTAGATACAAATGCATTAAGCGATGTCGTTACCAAGTGATCCAGCAATAAAATCAATTAAACCATCTTTTACGGTATTTAAGCGCTGCTTTTTTTCTGTCTGTTCAACTGTCATTGTTAGTTTTATAATAATAATAAGAGA